CGCCCGCCACAACGCCCGGCTATTTCTTGGTTGTAGCCGTCATTGTTGTTTGGCGGGCCCGGGCCGGATTCGAACCCGCCACTTAGGTGTATGTGGCTGACGCTCCAGCCACTTGAGCCACAGGCGCTGAGCCGTGCCACAGACACTTCATGGTCTTACAGACATTCAAACTGACGATGGTCGAAGTTAGATTCCTGGGCTTCCCTCCAAGACACCACTACTTGCAGCCCCCCACCTCAGGGAATGGCAAATTCACTCTGGGTGCTCTGGGACAATACATTTACTCAAAGTCTACGCACCACGTGTGGGAGGTGGGCCAAAGAAAGTACAAAACAGGGCAGCCAGTGCATTTGCATCGCGTCCCAGCCTGACATCGTTGCCCTTCCTTTGGCGGTTATTTTGACTGCTCATGTACACATTCGCCTTCTAAGAGGATCCGAACAGGGGTTCATGCAAGTGCCGTAATCAAGTCTGAGTACTGGCTCCGATTCCGGGCGAAAGTCTCCGCTTGATGGGCCTCATTTCCTTGGATGAAGAATGGACAGTTTTACCCTTGCCCATTAATCTTCTGGAGCTGCGCCCACGGTAAAGGGGAGAGTCTGAGCTGGGGCTCGGGGCAAGCTATGTCTTTCACACTGAGGAGTATCAGCTCAGAACAAACCCTCTGTAGGGTTTTGTGGACAGTAAACTACGTTGCCCATAAGACACTGCTCTGTGCGTCGACGGTAGGCGCTGGCAAGCCAATCAGAATGCAGAACAGGGGCGTTTCCTGAGGTCTGCAGACCTGGGGGCGGGACTTCCGGGCACTTGGAGCTATACGTAATTTGTGCGCGACGGTTCGGTACACGCCGGCTGTGGGAAGGGAACAGTGTTCCGTGACCGCTACCCGGGTGGTGCCTGGGGCGTGAGCAGGTAGGAGGCTGAGACCTATCTCCGTGTCTTGGAACGGACCGCGAATCGCCGCATACTGGGAGAGTGTGACAGTCAGTCAAGGTCACCGCTCCCCGGGCAGCTTGGGGCGGGACTGGGCCCGCAGGACCCGCCCTGCTCTCCGGGTCCCCGGTCCCGCTCGGTCTATAGGGTCCCAGGATGGCTACAGCATGGATGGACCCCGTGCAGGTGAGTGAACGAGGGTTTTGGCCTTGCTGCTTCTGTACGGGTCCCGAACGGCCTTCTGGGGAGGATGGCAACCAAGAAAGCCACAGGATTGCTTTTTGCAGTCGTATCTGTTTATGAATAATGGGACCAGACTTGTCATTTAGCTAATGTCAGTCATAGTACATGAAACTGAATTACAACGGAAAACTGCTAGGCTGTACATTAGAAATAGGACTTTGAGATGCAATTTGTAGCAGCTTGCTCAGGAAACTAACCCCCTTTTCTACAATAAACAACTCTGGAAGCCATCCTGCGCTAAGCTAGACTTGCAGGGAACCGGATGGATACAACTAAATGACAATCCAGGAAGCTAAATGATAACTTATATAACATCCAGCCCCAAATGTCCAGGATTTGATTAATAACTGAGAGTTCCTTTAATTTTGTCCCTGATTCCAACATGGGACCAACCAGAGAAAGCTGTGCATGTACCCTACTCTGTCATAGAATGCCCTGCTTCTAGTGAGCACAGCTACAGCTCAGAGAATGGATAAATGAGGGTGTACTTCATGGACTCCCATCACAAATATAATCCAAACTCTCAACCATGTCCTGCAAGTCTCTGCCCAAATCACCCTGGCTGACCACCTCTGACCTTATTCCCTGCCCTTTCCTCCTTCGCTGCTCCTCAGACACACCAGCTTGACTGGGCATAGTTCTTTTTCACCTCCTAACCTTCACCCTTGCAGTTCCCTTTGCATCGGACACTGTCCTCAGATCTCTGCAAGATTGCCTTTCATATCTTTTTGGCTTTGTTCAAATGTTACTTCTCTGGAGAGCCCTTTCTTGGCAGCCCTTTAGTTTGGCTTTTTTGTACAGGGAGTTTGGCCAAATTTTTAAAACTGCTGAACTGAGGTTTTCCAAAATGAGAAGGCAAAAAACATGAGTAGAACATAAGAATCATATGTAATAGTGCACAGCTCAGTCCCCATAGTTCAGTGGTTAGAGTGCTGGCCCCATGTAGGGAGGAGGGGTTTCCGACATTGAGTCTTTGAGGTGGATTGAGGGACAGGCAATATTTATCACCTCATTTAATAATTCTTATCTTCTTAGAGTTAGATTCTCTTGTTAACACTGCTTTACAAGAATATGAAACTCCCACCTGTTTTGTTTTCTGTTGTGAGGAGTTCTTCACTGTTATCACATGTTTAATTACCTGCCCAAAGTCACAGCAGTTAAGTAGCAGAAACTCACAATTAGTACATGGACCACCAGAGCCTTTGTTTTTACAGATAGTGGGCAGGGAAGCCCTGGAGGTGACACCTAAAGTGAATTTTGCTGTCCTCCTTTAGAAAGTCTCAGTGGCTATTGGGAGTGAAGGGCAGATATCTAAGCAGAGAGAAGTATGTAGACAAAGGCAAGGTGCATTGGTTGATTAAGAAGGTTCAAGAGGCCCTGTGAGGTTACCGGAGGGAAACATCCTGTAGTTCTTTTGCTAGATGTTTATTCCACCTTTAGCCCATACAGTGTCATGGCCAGTCATAAGCCTGTGTTCTCATGACCACAACCTGTGCTGTCTTTAGCTAAATGAGTTTCCTGGTCCTGAAGTACAGTGGCCTTAGTGATAGCTGCCATCAAGACTTAGGAAGGAAAAAGGCTAATGGTTCATTATGCAGTCTCTCTGGGAGTCTTTGTAACCTGAGGAAAGGGCTAAAGAAGAGATAAGGGAGTGAGCTGGCTGAGGCCTTGATCCTCATCCAGTGTTTGGCACCCTTGAGTTAAATGATGAGTGCTTTGTCCATGTAATAAAGCTATTTTCAGGAGCTGTTGGAATGGATTGAACATCAACAAATTTTTTTGTGGAAATGCTTCACAACTTCATTACTGTAGATTCACTTTAGTGATGGAGGATTGTTGGAGTTTCATCATTAAACTCTGGATTCTCAGTGCAAATTCTACCTCTGTTCATGAGACATGAGACACTGGGTAAAGTTGTTGTGACCTGAGCCTCAGGTCATAGAGTTTACCTCAGAGGCTATGGGAGGATTGATAAAAAATCCTAAAGCTTATCAAGCCCTGAATATGTTCTCTTTAAATCTCACAAGTGTTATTGGTGACATAGGAATTACTGGATTGATATGGAAATTAAGACTCAGATGAAGTGAGGTCCCGAAGGTCATACAATTGGCAAGTTTCAGTTTCAGGAATTTGTATTCAAATCTAGGAGTTTGACTTAAGAGCTAGAGACTTGTAGTCACTTTAACACAGGCTGTGAAGCTCTGCATGGCACAGGCACCTGCCAGGAGCAGTGAGGCTCAGGGCCTGCTCCTGTTACCATTGTTGCTATTGTTATTATTCTAATTGTTTCCTCATTTCCTGATATGCCACAGCCCTTACTATCATCCCATGTTGCCAGGTCTTTGGCACTGTCTTCTTTTATTCTGTGATGGCTTCTGCATAAGAGCTTTCTCTCCCTTGCATCATTGCATCATGTCCAGGCAAAGTTTGTCATGCTTCTTCAGCCTGTTCAATTAGACCTTCAGGAGCTATTGAGTGATTCAGGCCTTGATCTCTTTGCACAAAGCGCATGTGACAGCTCTGGGGCTAACTCTGACTTTCTAGGTGTCTGTGACCTTCGATGATGTAGCCGTGACTTTCACCCAGGAGGAGTGGGGGCAGCTGGACCCAGCTCAGCGAACTCTGTACCAGGAGGTGATGCTGGAAAACTGTGGACTCTTGATGTCTCTGGGTAAGGCCTTCACCCTCCACCATGCAGGAGACCTGCCAGCTTCTTCTTTCCACCCTCTGCCTCCAGGCCTGGATGGTCAGGAATCTGCCTTGCCTCCTAACCACAAAATCTCATTTTTTAGACTCATTGCTTCCTATCTGGTCTCCACATGTCTCTTTGGGGAGGAAACAGTATTCTTTTTTTTGAAGAGACAGAGTCTCACTTTATTGCCCTGGGTAGAATGCCATGGCGTCACACACCTCACAGCAACCTCAGCTTCCCAAGTAGCTGGGACTATAGACCACAACGCCCAGCTATTTTTTTGTTGCAGTTTGGCCGGGGCCGGGTTTGAACCCACCACCCTCTGTATATGGGGCCAGTACCCTACCCACTGAGCCACAGGCACTGCCCAAGAAACAGTATTCTTTGAGTTCCAGCCAAAGGAGAAGAAAGTGATTAAGGAAGTGCCGGATGTTTTGCAGAAGCCAAAGTTAGGATTTCTAGCTGTACCTGTTAACAAGGGACTGATGTGGTAACTAGAAACCCCACAACTGTGTTCTGGCTTCTCTCCCTGGGTCTTCATGTCACTGTTTGTTTTTTGTGGCTTTTCTGCCTTAGTGAGTTTGGAGCAAGACTTGCTTTCTGACCCTCAGATTCCTTGTATACTTCTCTGGTCTCTGTGGGGTATCCTGAGGGAGCAAGTGCAATCACCCCCTCCCAAGACCATACTTCCCTTGGTCTTTCACCAGAGTCAAGCAAAGCAGTCTTAATCATGAGGCTTCTTTGTTACTGGTGCCCTCATGATTTCCTCTTTCCTAAGTCTAGGACCAAGGTCCTCTGCTAGTGGGAAAGAGAAAGGTTTAGAATAGAGATGGCTGTACCTGGGTTTACTTACTGGTTCAGCCATTCACCAGTTCTGTGCTTTGCAGAAATCACTGTATCTGTCTAAGCCTGGGTTTCTTAATCTATAAAATAGCATTGATAGCACT